ACCAACCCTTCCTCTACTGGACGGTCGGTGTTCCCCCACCACTGTCCACTGACCGCTTCTCTTCCCGTCCCGACAGAGCCTGCAGTTCACACGGTCAGGTCCACACGGGGCTTTCTCCATCTGCGGCAGGCCCCCTCCCTCTGGGCCGCGTGTGTGTTTCCTGGCCTTTATTTATCTGGGGACACCAGGTGGCTTTTCCTGTAGAGCTCCCTGCACTCCTCGAGGGCCAATGGCAGCTCCCTGGTGCCCCACTGTGGCTTCCTGTGACTGGTGGGGGGACAGTGAGTCTGAGCCATTTCGGCTGAGCTGCGGCAAGGGCACCCCGTGGGTAGCAGGGTTTCCTGTGTCCCCCCTGCACCCCAGTCTGTCCGAGGGATTCTTTCAACGTGAAGACTGTTCTCTGAGGTCGGGGTCATCTGCCCACAGTGGCCGGCCTCGCCTCAGCCTCTCCCCTGGGTGGGGCAGTGGTGGCCGAAGCCTGGCCCTCATGGTTCTAGGGGCTTTGGAGGGTGACGCTCTTCCCCTCATGCCTCTATTTTGTTAGCAGGCATTCATCAAACAATGAGGACATTTCTTCATCTCTTTATTAGCCCATTTCTCTGGGCTATGGGTGTTGTTGTTTTTTTGAGACAGGGTCTCACTGTGTACTGCTGGCTGGTCTTGGACTCACTATGTAGCCCAGGTTGGCCTTGGACTCACAGAGATCCTCCTGCCTCAGCCTCCCAGGTCCTAGGATTGTGGGTGTGGACACCACACCGGGCCCATTTTCTGAATGAGCAGATGGGATCTTAGCATCCCCCAGGGGTGACCTGTGACCTTTTGTAAAGTCACGGATGATTCGCAGGCTGGTCTGTTTCAACCCACTGACACGCCGCCCTTTCCCATCCTCAGACTGCCCCTCCCCGGCTGACGAGGCCCCTCCCACTCACGCGTGGTGTCGACACACGGCTTTTCCTCTCTACCCCGGACACTTTCTCCCTCCGAGCCTAGGGTCCACGCCTCCAAGGGTGGCAGGGAGGGGGCTGCCCCGGGCCGCAGGCGGGCTGTGGACACCACATTGCTGCTCTGTGGGCCGCAGCTTCTAGCTCATCTTGTGGGACAAGAGAAAAGCACGTTACAGACGCAAGCTGACGTTTGGACCTCAGCCCCATAGACGGCAGAAATGTGACTTACAGATTGCGTGATTTTCCTTTACGCTTAAAAATCTCGTCTCCACAGCCCAGAGTGTAGCTCAGTGGTAAAATGCTCAACTAGGATGTCTGGGCCTTGGGTTCAAACTCCAGTACCACAAAGAGGGAGAGACTGGGTTCCTAACAACACTAAGATTATAACTATTTTTTGGTTTTTTTCCGGTACCGGGAATCAAACTCACGACCTTGCACTTGCCAGGCAGGCGCTGTGCCCCTGAGCTAAATCCCCAGCCCCTAAGATTATTACTATTACATAAACAATACCATCATTATTACTAAATATTAGCAAATTAATGCGATTGCTAAATAAGGTTATATATTCCTTAGCAGCTGTGTGAAATCCAGGGGACACTGGGTTGGGTTGTTTTTAGCTATAGTTTTGCGTTTCGTTTTGGATGTTTTGGCCAATCACGCGCCAGTCACTGACCAGGCACATGCGTGTGTCACTCGCTCCTCTAGCCCACTCCTAATACGAGCTGGTTGCAGACCCGTCAGTGTCTGATTTCTCAGCCTGCCCCTCGGGGTCCTAGAGTCCCTTCAAGGTCACACACCCCCAGTGCTCTAACTTCTGCCTATTAGACCCATCCGCCTCCCAACAGCACCACAAGTGGGGGTCAAGTGCCTAACACGGGGCCTTTAAGGGTCATTCCAGACCTGGTGTCTCGGTTACTTTTCTCTCATTGCTGAGACAAAATACCCGACACCTAGAATTAAGGAAGGAAAGGTTTATTTAGCTCACAGTCTGTGGAGGTTTCAGTCCATACTCAGCTGGCTCCAAGGCAGGGTGGCACATGGCAGGGGGCAACCATTCATGATGGCAGAAGACAGCAAAAGCAACAAGAGCAGAAGGGAGGAGTGGTGGCAGGCAGCCTCTTTCTCTCCCTTACATATGCAATCTGTCAGCCCCAGGGAGGGTATAGCACTCACTTAAACTCTAAACGCTGGCCCCATGACTGCATGTGTCTTTGGGGGGGACACCCAGACACAAACCATAGACATGGGGAAAATAGGTGCTGGACCCATCTGTTTAATGAGTGAATCTACGTCCAGCATCTCTGGGTTTCCAAGGGGGTGGAGGCCGTGACCCCGCCAGCACCCAAGCCTGCAGACGCTCAGTCCCTGCGCGCAGTGGCAGAGTGTTCGCTTCTGCCTGCACGTCCCCTGTGTACATCAGGACACCTCTGTCACTTGTAACACCCAAAATGACACAGGGGCTTGTACAGTGTCATCCTGAGTTCCCAGGGAATAACGAGACGAAAAGGCTGTAGGTGCTCGGGATGGGCCCAAACTCTTCTGCAGGTATTTTCAACCCGTGCTGGTGGGAACCACGGGTTTGGGACCGTCCGACATGGCTCACCACATGGCTCACGGATGTGTGCTGAGGGCCCTTTAGGTCCAGGTGCTGTGGTGCTGCTTCCCGGCTCTGTGCTGGAGGCTGGGCTGCAACGGGGAGAAGAGACTTGTGAGGCCTTAGTCCACATGGACCCTGACCTTTAATTACCCTCCGCCTATTAGCCAGCCTAATGCAGCTCAGCCTCCTCACAGCCATGCACAGCTCTTCTAGGACAGCGCCTCCAGGTCATGTTCACGCAAGACTGGGGAACCCCCGCCTCCCTGAGCTTGGCCTTAGCGGTTGCGCATTGCAGTCTCAGGCAGACGCGGCATTTACCCTGGCGGTCGTCCTCCTCCTTCACCTTCCAACGTGGCTCCGTCGCTTAACCGGTCCCCTGTCCGCTCGGTCCCTGTCACTCGCGACCCTGGTGGGTCCTTCCCAATCCCAGCCACCTGAGCCTGTGCAAGCTCCTCCCTGCGCTTTGTGTCTTTATCTCTGACATGCGATGCTCACAGTGACTTAGCAGGGTGACGATGGCTCTAAATGGACCGATGACCAGGGTCACAGAGCCCACCTAGCACACATTCCAGCTCTCAAGGAAGGTGCTCTGTGTTAGTTGGACAGTAGTTGAGCTCGCTGTTGGCATGAAACCATCAGTTCAGCCCAGGCGTGGTGGCGCTCTCCTGTAATCCCAGCACTCGGGAGGCTGAGGCAGGAGGATCGTTGCAAGTTTGAGACCAGCCTGGGCTACAAAGTGAGCTCAAGTCCAGCCTGAACTGCAGAACCTGTCTCAAAAAAAGACAAAAAAAAAAAAAAGAAACCATCAGTTCACACAGTTATTCATCCAGATACAAATCTTCCTCCTGTGCAAGCACCCAGACCCTAGGGTCTCCTGTGGTCTGAGGGACAGTGCCAGGCTCTCCAGCTCCTTGCAGAGCTGTGTGGCACACCAGGCGTCACCTAAATATTTCTAAGGTAAACAAGCCACCTGGCTCAGTGGCCACTGACCTGAGGATGAGGGACAGTTAACGTCCTGTATCCACTCATCGTTTATTGCTCTGTGATCTTCACCCATTCAGTGGGCCCCACCCCGAGGGCCCCAGAGGAGTCTCCTGAGTATTTCTGTATTTGTGCCACTTGTCCTACCGAAGACCCAGCCCCCCTGCATACAATGTGATGCTCATTTAAAAGCTGAGTGGGGCTGGGGATTTAGCTCAGCGGCAAAGCGCCTGCCTGGCAAGCGCAAGGTCGTGAGTTTGGTTCCCGGTACCGGAGAAAAACAAAAAACAAAAAACAAAAAAAAAATTAAAAGCTGGGTGACAGCGATGCTGCTCCTAAAAGCCTGAAGGCACAGTGGCCAACCTGAAGCAGCGCACACGCAGGGCCGTTCACAGCAGAACCGCTCGGGAGGGGTTTTCTGTGGACACGGGGGCCCTGCTCTACCTCTCCTAGCCGGTCCCCGCCTGCCGCCTGTGCTGAGCCACCCTCAATGTCACGTTCTGCAGAGCCCCATGGGCCCCATCCGGCCTTGGCACCCTGTGGCCTTGGCTGCCTTGGAGTATGAGGACCTTGGCTTCCAACCACGGCCCCGCCTGCGTTTTCCAGGCACAGTGGGGGGGCTTTACCACCGGGAGGCGGGGCCACCTGGGCGGGAGGCGGGCAGCTCTGGGGCAGTCGCATTCCATCCATCCCCGTGGAAGGCGGTCTGCGCCAGCGCAGGACAGCAGGACTTCCGAGGGCAGCACCTCGGCTCCAGCTCGGCACCTCTGCTCCACGGCCCAGAACAGAGGCGCAAATCTTCATTTCCCACCTGAAGTGACGGTCATAGGCCCGTCTGCCCCCTCATGAGCGTGTGCTGGGTCCCCATGGGCGGGAAGATCTCTACAGGCTGCAGGTTGGGGCACAGGTGGTGGCAGCGTCCGAGGGAGGTGCAGACATCGGGCCAGGACTCGGTCGGGGACTGAGGGCTGGGAGCTGGGGACGGGAAGGGGAGAGGGCGCTGCCTGGACCCGGCCGCCCCCAGCTCCCTGCCCTTGAACTCTCGGCGGCTGGGGCAGGGCCACCTCTCCGAACACGCAGGTCCCCAGGGCCCAGCTACGCGCAGCACTGGGGTACACTCCACTTAGCCTGGAGAGCACTGTCGGGCTTGGGCACCCCACTGCCCCGTCCAGGCTCCCCCAGCACCTGCCCCACCCAGGGTGGATCTGTGCCAGCTTCGCCCCAGCCTTGCACCAGCACTGCAGACCTTCCTGTGTGTGTAAACACACACACTGCACACGTACTACACACATGTTGCACAAACTGCACATACATACTACACACACAGCACTGCACTTCACATGCACACCACGGACTCTGCACATATACACTGCACACATCACACTGCACACGCATATTACACACACCGCACGCACACTGCTCACGTGGCAGGGGACCGCTGTAGAAGGTGACGCTCACTCCCTCTTCCTCCCACACAGATCAAAGTGGAGAACCAGCTCGACTACCAGGACATCACCAGCGTGGTGGCCATGGCCAAGACCTACGCCACCACCGAGGCCTTCATCGACTCCAAGTACGACATCCGCATCCAGAAGATCGGCTCCAACTACAAGGCTTACATGTGAGTCCCAGGCAGGGGGGCTGGAAGGGCGGGAGAGATGGAGATTGGCAGCGCCAGCATCCTGCCTCGGCCTCCCTGCACATCACAGCTCTCCCTGTCTCAAAATAAAAACTAAAAAGTTCTGTGGCTGTAGCTCAGTGTGCAGCCAATATGCGGAAAGCATCACGTAAAACAGATTACTGCACTGGGGCGTCTCTGGAACTGATAAAGCCAGGTAGAAGCTGGAAGTGGCAGCACACACCTACCATCTCAGCTGTTTCAGAGGCTGAGGCAGGAGGATCCCAAGTATGAGGCCAGCCTGGGCAGCTTAAAGAGACCCTGTGTTAAATAAAAAATAAAAGCCTGGGGATGCAGCTCATGGTGGAGCATCCCGGGCTCAAACCCCACGCCAGAAAAGGAAAAGAAAGAAGGAAACCACTGCCCAAGAGATCACACAGGGTCACATGGGGCTCTCGGGCTGCGCACTAGAAAGCCCAGCTCACAATTTCACAGGTTTCCACTTAAGGGAATTTATCAGAAAACCACAGGCGATCAGAAACTTTAAACACAAACCAACAAACCCTACTAAGGTTGCAGTGTGAGAGACACAGGCCCTGGGCAGCCCCGCGATCTGCGTGGCCAGAAGTGACAGGGGTGTCAAGGCTCGGCTGGGCCACGGGTCTGCCCTGAGTGTCCTCGGTGCTGCTCCCAAGATCCAGATCCCACGGAAACGGGGCTGCTTAGGGAGAGACAGAGGTGAAGACGGGGAGTCACAGGCAGGACCCAAAGCCGGCAGGGGATTCCCTCTGGAGACAGGGGTGCTGCGGCTACAGGAAGGCAGAGAGAACAGCCCCCGGGACCCCAAAGAGATCGACACAGGACGTCAGTCACTCTCGGGGCTGGGCTCATAGGTAGCATTGGTGACCGAGCTGGGGGAGGCAGGAGGTCGCAGCATTTGAAGAGGTCGCACGTTCCTGGGCCTCTGGGGAAGCTGCCACCACTGCCCTTTGACACAAGACCCTGGACAGCCAGCGGTGCGTGCTGCGGCACTTCGGAGTCCTGGCCGGCAACGTCTCCTGTGCACGACCGAGGGCCGTGTGGCCGTGCCAGGACCCCGGTGCACCCGCTGCCTGAGAAGGCTGCGCTGGCCACGCCGTGCACATCCGGCCCGTGGCCTCTGGCTGCTCCTGCACTACCTGGGCTGCCTCTTCCGCAGAGCGCCAGGTGGTGACTTCAGGCTTGAGGACCACGTAGTCTGTGTTTGAATCTCCACTCGCGGCCGATGCCTGGGCCACCGGAGCAGGCGCCAGGGGCAGACTAGGAGGACGCAGTGGCGGGAAGGCGGGCGCTGGTTCTCAGAACAAGTTCGGCCCCGTCTTGTCGTCCACCACCCGCTTCTGTGCCGAGGCCGGCGAGCTCACTCCGACCTCCTGCGTCCCCGGGTGCTCAGACCCCTCCGCCTGCTCCCAGTCGGCGCTGCCGACCGGCATGATGTCATTTCCCTCCGCTCCCCACTGTGTGAGCTCCCCTTGACATTGGCGACACCTTGTCCCAGCTTTTCTCTTGGGATGACCTCATCGCCTCATCGTTTATGCGCAGCCTCTTTGACCTGACAGCTACAGTTTGTCATCAGTTACAGTTTCCCAGACCCTGGGGTGGCTCGCACCAGGGAGGGCTCCGTGGACAGCGTGGCCCCCGCCCCAGCCGCTTCCTGCCCTGCCCGGTCCCTGCACGTCCGCACCTACCGTTTCAGGGCTCTCCGAGCAGACACAGAGAGGAAATATGAGTATATCATCCGCCACATGTGCACACACAGCCACGATTATTTCTCCCATGTCTGCCCATCTGCGTACTGAGCTAAAGAGGGCCACGAGGGTCAATGCCCCGACTCCTGTCCAGGGCCAGGCTGCACCAGGACTGGGTGTCGTTGCTGAGCAGCGGTCCTAGGGATTGATCCCAGGGAGCACTGAACTAGACCACTCAGCCCTTTTCCTTTTTAACTTTGAGACAGGCTCTAACCAACTTGTCCAGATTGGTGATGACCTTTCTACGTTCCTGCCTCAGCCTCCCAAATAGCTGGGATCACAGGCATGCACCACCGCATCCGGCTAAACATCTGCTGTGTATAAGCCGCCCCATTTGTGGCATTTTGCCGAGACAGCCCAAGTAGACGAAGGAACTCATAACAAGGCGATGTTTCCCGTGCTCTACCCCAGCTGCAGCCACATTTTCAGACTGCTGCCGGCACCGCTCCCTGCGTCCGCTGTGGTCACGGGTTTGTCCACCAAGAGCCCAGGCTGACGGCACAGGGCTGAGATGCGCTTTGGTGGCGCCTGGCTCCGAGCAGGACCAGAATAATAAGAGCGCCTGGCTCGGCCGGTTTTGTGAGGCTGCAGTGAGCGGTGCGGGACCCCACGACCCGCGGCCCTGACCCGGAGATCGTACACCGCAGTCTGCGCTTGCGTCATCGTGCTCCCGTGTCCCCTCGGCCTCGGCCCCGGACACCAGCTCTTCCTGTCTCCGCCCGCTCAGAATAATGGAGCGCCCATTGTGCTGGGAGATTTATGGGACCGCTTCCTTCCAGGCACACAAGAAGCCCTAAGAATGCTGGGGCCACAGTTGCTCGCGTTTTACCAAGGATGAGACAAAGATGCAGAGATGTTGCCATGGTTACTCCGCCAGCAAGTGCTGGAACCGGATTCAAACTCACATCTCTCTGACCCCTCCCGTCACCGGCTGGGTCCCACTGTCCCCGCTCAGCACAGGGGCTGCCTCCGGGGTCGCGTCAGGTGATGCTGTTTCCTCCCTAGGTCCCAGAACCCTTCTCTCCCCTGTGGCTGCTCACTCCCGGGCCGCCCTCCAGGCAGGTCTGAGGCACCTGGTCCTCAGGGCAGGGAGTGGTACTGAGACACTGCAGCCCTGGGCCGGTCCCCAGAGGAAACTGCACTGACCCCCAGGGGAGACAGGACCCCAGGGCAGGAGCCTCACCCAGCGGGTGAAAGGGGGGCTCTGCTGCCCTTCAGAGGGGGCCGCAGGGTGGAAGCAAGAGGTGGAGGCAAAGCTGGCAGCAGAGTCCACATGGGCACATGAGACCGTGACAGGGTGAGAAGCCAGGCACAGGGAGCATGGGAGGTGGCAGCTGCTGCTGGAGCAGAACAACCTCTAGGCACAGTGCAGAGAGGAGCGGGGGTGGGAAGACAGGCGAGACGGACAGCAGCTGATGGCCTGCCTGCCCCCCACAACGGGCAAAGTCCTCGCTCCTCCCTTTGGGGTTTGCAAAACATCCCAGAACCAACAGGGATGCGCTGCCCTGATTCTGCTTGAAAATAAGAGGTCCAGTGTGGTCGTCAGCCTCTTGTTACTGTCATACACACCTGGTGCAAGTCAATTTAAGAACAAGAAAGGTTGAGTTGGGCTCATAGTTTCAGAATTTCAGCCTCTGGTTCCACTGGGCTTCCGGCAGCCCCGGACACCACGCCCAGTGCACTGGGGGAAGTAGCCCACTTTTCTCAGACAGCCAGGAAGCCCAGGAGGAGACGGAGGGGCAGGAAGGGAGCCCACGTCCCCTCCGAGGGGCGCTTCCTGACCTGACTTCCTCCCGCCTGGCCAACCTCTCAAAGGCTCCCTCTCTAACCAGCAACAGACTGCAGACCCAGCCCCCAGCATGGGGCCCTTTTGGGGCGCTGCTCCAGCACAAGGTCAGGTCGATCTTCTCAGTGTCAGCATTTTTGGAAATTATCTTTAAATGTAAAAAATAATAATAATAATACAGGAAATGATACATAAGACCCAGCAGATCTGTCAGTCATCCCGGGAGGACAGTGAGAGCAGGAAAACAGCCGGGGGTGTACACCCAGAAGCTGCGCCATAGCTTGGGCCAGACACCGGGCACGGGCCCTCATGGCCAGCGTGGGAAGGGCAGCGAGCCGGTGGCCAGGGCGTCCCTAACGCTGTGCTCTGCCGCAGGAGGACCTCCATCTCCGGGAACTGGAAGGCCAACACGGGCTCCGCCATGCTGGAGCAGGTGGCCATGACGGAGCGGTAAGGAC